ATTTTATATTTTTTTTCTTAAATATAATGTCATAATTCTTAAAAACTTGTTAAATCTTAAAAAAAATATAAATAACAAATAATTCTTAAATTATGCTTTTTTTTCTTTTTATTTTTAGGTTTAATTATGCTTTGAGTTTTTGATAAATTTAAGAATTTTATTGAATCATTATAAAAATTGTGGTGTATTGTGTTTTTAAAATTATAAAAATTTTGAATTATGTTCTTTTATATGACGTGACATTAAAGATTTACGATATTTGCATTTTTAAAATCAAAACGTTTATTACATGTACGAAACATATATTCAGAATTATTATGCAAAATCGTGTTATTATGAAGGGCGTTTCGTTACAATAAATCCAGATTTGACAAATTTGAGTTTGGAAGATGACCCCAAATCGCTAACATTCATCGCAGTATTGCAAAAGGAAAAATAATTAAATTAAAATAACAAAACATACAAATTTTCTCTAAAATTCTTAAAGTAAAAAAATTATACAAGTAATTTTACAAATAATGAATATCCATAAACTTAATCCCTATTGACTTGTGTCAAACAAATGTAAATCCTAATTTAAAGAACTATTAATAATTAGAAAATAACTTCACATTATTTCTAATTCTTCTATTATTATTTTTTTACTTTAACAACCAGATTAAAGAAAGAATAACATTATAACTATAAATTGATGGTTTAATAAAAGAAATGTCCTACTTCAGGCAACTACTAAATTAAATAAAAGGAATACTGCAATATTAAGACATATTAAGACATACAGACCAATAGCAACAATTGGAAAAAGGTAACTAGAACGGCGATAGTATACCTGCATCTCAATTATTGCTTTCTTGAAATGAAAATTATTCCTAAAAATGGAGAAATGTTTGATTCAGTTCTTCAATAAAGACCTCTAGGACGCCAAATTTAATTTATAAGATGACTAATCTCAATTCTAATGTTGAATTCTATTACCAATTCCAAGCATAATAAACCGAACTTAGGGGAAGTTCAATTCCAATGCCAGTAACGTACAAGTTGTCACATAATTCGGAGAGCAGTCTTCTTAAAATTTGTCTACAGCATGAGAAAATGAAATCACGCTTCATATAAAAAACTAGGAATGAACTTAATACCATATTGACATCTTGAGTTTCACCCCAGATTCTGTTTCTCGTGATGGAAATCTTCCACGACCGCACACTGAACATTACCCTCTATTTCACTCCATCTGCATTAAGAAACCATGACATTATTAAAAATTGCAGTTGTAGTTGAAATTGTAACGAAAATTAATTCAAAACTTGCATTAGGATCATTTTGCAGAAATGTTATTAGATACTTAACGCCCATGTTTTCATTTAACGTCCATACAACTTACAGTGTGGGCAAATAAAAACATCAACCTTCATCAATCATTAATCTGTATAAAACAAGAGAAAAACTGTCGACAAGATTTTGTTCAGAAATTAATCCAGAGATCATAATTACCAGTAGATAAAATTCACTGCAGCTTATACTTCAATATCACACTTCAAAACTTGTAGAGATTCACCATGACAATAATGTCTTACAATGTCGACTTCATGTTTTATGAAACTTCACAGAATTAGTTTATAAAATGATGTTTACTCTCTCTTTTATATATAATTTGACTATATTTTTAGTCAATGTGGAACCTTTAACAATTTGCAATGGGGTCTTCATTAAAAGATAAACACAATCTATTCTGATGTTCAGATAAAGCATCTTTGATAGCTTATTGTCAGGCTGCGCTACAAATTAACCCAGGAAAAGAATATGTAAAAGAAACTAATTAGACAAAATAGAAAAGAGTAAATTTTTCATTTCCCTCCAATACTAGGAATACTATTTCGTATAACATTGGGGACAGGATTGCATTTAATGGGTCTCTATATGCTTCAAAAAGGAAGACATTTCATTAATCAAAACATATCTTTGAACCATTTAGGTGTTTGGATCTTGTGTTTACTGGGTTCGGTAACAATATCTTCTGCCATTGGGGAGTATTTGTCGTAAAAGTTGGTAACAGTATGAGTTGGCACAGTTGAAGTACTTGAGGATAGTGGAGGTGTATTTGCCCATTAACATTTTGCCTTGTATAGTGGTAGTGTAAAATTGATGGAGCTTGGTAAAGTGTTGGGGAACCGATGAGGAGATGGAGGTGAAGATGGGTCTAGAAAATTTTCTGGAGAGTGCATCCAGCACAAGATTTGTTTTTCCAAGTTCATAGAAAATCTAAAACTGAAATCCCCATACTTAAGAAGTTCAATTTTTATATTGAGTTTGAACTGCTTTAGTTAAAAGAGAATTACGACTCTTTCGGATTTGTACTTGGAAAGGGTGCCTTAAAAAATAGTCTCCATTTTTTTGACAAATTTGGTTACGGCATCAACCTCCCTAGAATATACAAAGGCTAATCGAATACGTGGACACATTTTTTGACTAAAGAAGGCCAAGGGAAGTCCATGTTGATCTAGAACTGAACTGATGGCAAAACTCAAGGCATCAGTTTCAAACACAATGGTTTAGAAAAATTAGGTAGTGTTAGTGAAGGTAATTTGGCCATTTGATTCTATAACTCTTCAAATGCTTGTGGATGGTCCATATAATTTAGCTTGAACAAAGGCGATTGGTGAAGGGAGAGGCGTAATGGGAAACAAAAAGACAGTATAAATCAGTGAGGCAAGGGAAGTCTCTGAATGCCATAAGTGTGTGGCTCCAACCATTGGAGTATATAGCTTGAACTTTGTCTTGATCCGAGGATACACTTGCAGATGCAATGATGTGTGCTTAGTGCACTGAATTGATGCAAAATTGTACTTGAAGAACCTCACAAAAAAATTGATTACAGGATAATAACTTTAAAACTAAGTGTAAGTGTATGACATGAAAGAGATAATCAGGACTGTAATGTAGTGTGTGTGTGTATAAAAACAGGAGTAATTGGTATAAATGTGGCCTGAGTAAATCACTCATGGCTGATTGAAAAGAGAAAGGCTATTTCTGAGGCCAAATGGCATTACCAAAAATTTGTAATGGTCACCCGATGTGTGAAAGGTTGTTATGTCTGTCTTCAGGAAATACTTGGATTTGGTGAAGTCCCGAGTGTAAATCAAACTCAGAAAAAATTGTAACAGCATATAACTCAACCAGGAGTTCATCAATAGTATAAGAGAAAGAGTTGGTGCTACCTGTAACAATGTCTTCATTAACATATCGCGGATGATGTAGGAGATGATATCTCTCTGGAAGTGTGGGTGATAATGGGGATGCTTTGGTGTAAGGCCTTGTAGCAGGAAAAAAACTAAATCGTGAGTGGTTATGAGAGATTGAACTTGAGATGGGAATTATATGAAGTTTGGTTCGTGATGTATGGGAGGGAGTGGAATATTGGAGGGTGAGGGTGTTATGGGAGTAATGTGTAGAGATTGAATCGTGAGGACGTGAAGTGAGGAAATAAATTTGTTACGAAGGAGGTGGCACAACCGACGGAAAGAGATTGGTGGATGTTTGGAAGGTGAGTCATCTTGGAGGGTAAAAATAGTATTGGAATGGGTGAGGGAGATGTTGGGTATAGCAAAACTGGCAGTAAAGTGGAGTGATTGTGTAGCCAATCAATAAGCAATACGACATCAACACCCTCAATGGGTATTAAGTAAAATGGCATTTGCAAGTGACAAGAAGGTTGTCAATGGGCCCTATCTGGGTAGTATTTGTAGAGAATGTTGGCCAGCAAGTTCTCCCGAGGAGTGTTGTAAGTGTAATAGAGGTTGGGGGAGTTTGGGGTTTAGGGACCAAAGGGGAAGACACATCATCAATGTCATCGATGTCAAAAGATTCATCGTCAATTAAAATAAAAAATCGGGAGTGGGTGCACTTGTGAGTTGGGTAAATTTTTCATGACAATTGTAGCATAAGTAGTGCTCAACATTCTTGCTATTAGAATGCTAATGGTAGGGGTGTGGGAGTTAGTGTTGTGGGCAGGCTTAGAATCTTTAATTTTGGCCTCAATTAGTTTTGCTAATCTAATGGCTTTTGGATAGCAAGTTCATGGCGCATTTCGGGGATTAAACCAGAAATGAAACAATTTAGAATGACCTCTATGGGTAGACCTAGTACTCTATTGCATATCTTTTCAAAGAGGAGGGGACAAAGTGAAGTCACAGTGTATGGTTGAGTGAAGGATGACCAAGTAGTGAATTGAGAGTTATGGTGCATCCATTTATACCAACTAAAGACATCACCTTTCCATATGAATAGGCCATGTTAAGGCTCTGGTCTAGGGAGATCAGATAGAAGGAAAAAAAAAACTATTATGTTTGAACAAGTTGATCAAGGGGTTCTAGACCATCAGAGTAGGCTAGTTGAAATTTGGGACGGTAGAAGAAACATGGAGGTTGAGGAAAGGAAGAAAAGGGAAGGGTTGTAGGAACAACAATCGGTGGTTGTTGAGGGTGTTGAGGATATAGATGAAGTAGGGGAGTGTGTAAGGGGAATAGCTGTTGTGGTCAAGTGGAGATGTGTGTGTGTGTGTGTGTGTTGTTTGGGGGATGGAAGGGAGCAAAGTTTTGGAAAGCCTGAAGAAGTAATGCATGACAAAGGTGGATTAGTGGTGACCGTAAGAACATATAGAGAGGGAGGTAAAGTTGTTGTGGTTGAGGTGAGGGTGTCATGTTTGGAGGTGATTGGCTGGTTAAAGTATGGATACAAGCAGTAAAACCTAGTGTAGGAGATTCTTAAGTTGATAGAAAAGTTTCATGAGAGTTGGCAATGGTGTGGAAAGATAGTTGGAGTAGTTGATGACAGCTGCCTTGAGCTTCCATGTGGGGGACTGCATGGCTTACAAAAGGTCATGGATGCTTTTTAGGGATTGATCTCCTTGGTGGATGGGACGGAAGCAACAAAAATGTTAAGCAGCACTACAAATTAACCTATGAAAGGAATACGCATAAGAAAAGTAAAGAAGACAAAAAATGTAAAGGGTAGATATTTCATTTCCTTCAAACTGTAGGAACTATCGTACATATGGCATAATGAGCCTCTCTAGGCCAGTATCTAATTAATTAAAAACAGTCTTTGAATAATTTAGGTACTTGGGCCTTACATTTATTGGGCTCAGTAACACTTATTCTAGATCATATCAGGTTGGGCCTGACAAGACAATCAAAAACTTTTTCCTCCCCTGAAAACCATACTGGGGATGATCCAACAGGATCCCACATGGACTGAGAATGGCAGACTCCCTGGGACATCCTTAGAAAGAAAGAGATTCAGATATCAGGTTTGCACTCACACTCCCTATTATACAACCTCTAATACTGAAGCTTTCACCCACTTAAGGGTTGGAATGCCTTTGAATTTTGTAACGCTATGAAAGATTATCAAACCCAATAAGCTTAATCATTGTGGTTTAGAAAATCTCTTGTACAAATCCACTCTGTATGCATTTAAACATGTTCATTTCTGATAGACCCCCAGAATTAAGAAGTACAAGACAGTTCTTGTATGTTTATTATGAATCAATCTGCCCTACCAATGTAGTAGAAACAGGTAATAACAATGTACAAAGCACCAAGGTCTTTCGAGAGGACCTTTCTCTCCTAACTCCCTTCCCTCCTAACAATCAAAACTCTCCAGAAAACTAAAAACAACCTAATCACAGACTACATATATAATAGTCTCTGTTAGGCCTGTTACAACAACAGGAGATTATAACTACCTCCTTATTTATTTCTCCTAGTATAAATTCTACCACTGAACCTATCAATACCCCACCCTAGGAGTTTCACCTTGTCCTCAAGGTGAAAGTCTTGGAAGTCTTAGTTGATAGCCGCAGCAGACTCCCCACTATTCTCCATCTCAGGAAGTTGTTTCCATTTGAGCAAAACTTCCAATTCACCTTATGCATTCACACGAGTGTCAAGCACTGCTTTCACTGCTGATTTAAGCAAGGAAACATGAAAAACTAGATGAATGCGGCTGAGTTCTGGTAGAAGCAACTTATAAGCAACTTGGCCAATACGTTCTACAACCTGATAAGGTTCATAATAGCAAGGACTTAATTTTTCATTAAATTTCTCGCTAAAGATTTGAACCGATATTGTTGAATCTTGAGAAACACCCAATCTCCTTCTTGATAAACCACATTTCTCCTGTGTTTATTAGCTTGAAGCCTATTCTGCTCTTGTGCCTTGCACAAATTATCTTTCAACGATTTTGAAATTGCATCCCTTGCTTCGTGCACCTGATTTACACTTTCCACCTTAGCTGGAATGGTTGTGCCTTTCAAAATGAGCGGTGGATCACATCCATATAGAGCCTTGAATGGTGTCATCTTAGAAGAGGCACTATAGTTGGTGTTGAACCAAAACTCAGCCCAAGGTAGCCAAGTGGGCCATTGTTTAGGTTGAGTTCCTGTCATGCATCTTAAATATGTTTCAAGATAGCAATTCCCAACTTCGGTCAGACCATCTGATTGTGGGTGATATGCACTGCTATACTTCAACTTAGTCCCTTCTTGTTTAAAAAGTTCTTTCCAAAATTGGCTGAGAAATAACTGGTCTCTATCTGAAACTATTGAAGAGGGAAACCCATGTAATCTTACCACCTCATTCAATAAAAGCTGAGCCACCTCTTGTGCTGAGTAGGGATGTGATAAAGCAAAAAAGTGAGCATACTTGGTAAATCTGTCTACTTCTACAAAAGTGGTGTCTTTTCCTTTTGCTTTGGGGAGTCTGCCTATGAAATCATCGAGATGTCAGACCAAACTTGTTGCATACGCTCATGTTCATTCTCCTCTCTATCTCTGTCGCACATGGATTCTTGAAACATGTGTTCCAACGCCTCTGGTCTTGCTTCCATTTTGGTGCTAACCATAAGCCTCGTACACCACTACCCTAAGGACCAAGAAAGTAGCTCTGAATACCCGTTGATAAACCCCTCAGAATTACAGAAGTACAAAACAGTTCTTGTATGTTTATTATGAATCAATTTTCCCTACCAGTGTAGTAGAAACAGGTAACAACAATGTACAAAGAACCAAAGTCTTTCAAGAGGACCTTTCTCTCCTAACTCATTCCCTCCTAACAATCAAAACTCTCCAAAAAACTAAACAACCTAATCACAGACTACATATATAATAGTCTGTTAGGCCTGTTACAACAAAAGGAGGTTATAACTACCTCCTTATTTGTTTCTCCTAGTATAAACTCTATCACTAAACCTATCAATTTCATAACGCAATACAAATACATAGAATGTTCTGATAACTAGAAAATTTCATAGGCATAATTATAAGTTAACATACCTAAAAGGAATACGTAGGAGAGGAAGTAAGAGTGATATTTACTAACAAAAAGGTGGCAGTAGAATCACACCTAGGATGATATAGGCATGTGAAAACAAAACCAATAGAAATCTTCATTAGAAGAGCTCATCAAATGACATGATAGCCAAATAATTAGAGGCAGGGGTAGATCAGTAATGACTCTTCAATTGAAACCATTAGAAAGTATATATAATTAAATGGCCTCTTTAAAGAATTCTTTACAACAAAAACAAACGGGTATCCTTAGACTCATGTACCTGACCCAATGAATAGGCTTTTGGTAGTATTATTGTCATTTATTAACAGATCTAATTCTACGCACATGCAGTCCATCCTAGAACTGGGATGCTAATCCAAACTGAGGTTTTAAATAAATAGTGCACAGGAACACTTTAAAAACTCAAAAGTAAAACAGAGACCTTTTGACGTTTTGGATTTGGGGGGCTTGAGTCAGAATCACTCGGTCTGCGTGATGTCCCGACATCAGTTTCAACCTGCATGCACATAGGCTGATCAGTTTATTTTCTCTTTTTTCATAGAAGACGCAGTTACAATACTCAATTTTCACTTGACATAATCTGGTTGAACAAGGCAAGAAAAAATATTAAGAAAAGTCTCCTGAATTTTTTGCTATATTACATCTGTTCAGCAACCTTGGAGAAAGTGACACCCAGAGGGGTTTGAGTAAAGGATAAAAAAGTTGGAATCTTTCAAATATGATATTCCCTACGTGTGTCAAAAGTCAAGAAGCACTCACAATGTGCGAGAGAGGTTTTGGTAGTTGATGTTGACCAAATAACAAATGTAATCAAGCAAATAAAAAATAGAATAAGGAAAGCAAACAATTAAGTCTGCACACCTGGGTTGAAGAAGCTTGAGCCATATGATCTTCTGAAGGATTTCCCTCTGACCCTACTTGTTGAGATATGACTGGCATGATTTCACGGAGCATATTTGACAAAAATATTCCTTCTTCACTGGCATTAGGTTGTGCTTCGGGGACTTGGGCAGCCCCCCTTGATGTTGCAGCATGATCTGAGTCAGAACCTGGAGTTATTCCTTGTACACTTGAATCTTCCACATGAATTTCTCCACCAGGAAAGAGTGACCTTAATAACTGAAGTACACTGCTTGGTATTTGTCGCTCAGGTTCTTGGTTGTTTTGGGGTCCACTGGCAGCCAGAATATTGATATTTACAACACGAGAATTAGATGGCTCCGGTCTTGTGCTTTGAGTTGATAAGGATCCTACTACAACAAAGTTCAATGGCAAATTAACTAAAATCAAATTTATCCCTCAGATCCTTAAAGTATATATCAGATAATTTTATAACCGGCAAAATAGGTAAACCATGAGTTATATAAACAAAGGTAGTGACTTTAGAAGGTTTGTAGAAGTAAAAGAAGGAAGTAGCAATACATCTTCCTCGCCAAAATGAATCAAGCCTATTGAATTCAATAAAATGCTTAGAAAGCAAGTTTAATCAATCATTCAATCGTAAGAATAATATGGAAGATATCTTTAGTTCATAGCTATTAGGAAGAATGTCATATCCGGGATACGGTAAATTTAGACAATTAATTAGTTAAACCCACTAAATTACTGAAAATATCAGTCATCTCTCTTAGGGGAAACGAAAGGAACATTGTCATCAAGTGTTTAGGAAAGAATAAATTAGCACTTGAAATGCTTTCTATCTCATGATATTCCTAGATATCATAGTGCCGATGAGGATATTAAAGTCTTTAAACTTTATAGGAAATATAAAGTAGTCTGGTTTTGCTTATTACTATTTTACTTATATTATTTCTTTCCAACTTATTTTGTTAACAATTATAGAAACTCTAGGTAAGAGAGAAATATTGAGCTGAAATTGTATGTTTCAGCAGGGATGCTTTATAAATATTGACAAAAATGAATCAATATAATGAATAGAAAAGATTTGATATCCTCTAATAATGGGAATAAATAAATAAAAAGGTTCCTAATAATACATAAATAATCTAGATACACTTATTTAGAATGAACCCCTATTTCTATAATTACAACGATATTTCTCATTATATAGTATCAATTTCTTATTTTTATAATTATAACACTTTCCCTCAAGCTGAGCATATAGGTAGTATGTGCCCAGCTTGCTACAAAAGTCATCAATCTTTGGTCTTCCCAGAGTCTTGATGAAAATGTTAGTCAACTATTCATTAGAGGTAACAATATTGCAGTGATGTCTGCAAACTCCAGTTTTCTCTTATGAAATGACAATCCAAAGTCAACAATAAGGGATGGGAGGGTTGGGTAGTACCTCTATCGAGCACTACGTCTTCAATCAAAATAAGTAAGCATTGATTATTTTAACAAACTATAAAAAAGTAGTTTTGGATCACGTACTCTGCAATCAAATATAATCTGAAATCATCTTGTAACATGAAGCAATCAGCGGTTTCAGATATTGAAAGATAATTGTTAAATTACCATTCCTTGTAGAATCATCTGTGCTTTGCCTTTCCAACATGGAATCAGTAGTTGATGGCACTGCAGCATGATGCTGACTTGAATGTTGAGATCTCTGTTCACTATTTACATGTCCAGAAGACGACACATGTTGAAATCTCCCAAGAATTGGATAGTAAAGACCTAGAGAATTACCAGATGATTCTGAAGGCGGACGGACCACGGGACCCGGTACTGCTGCTGCAACCATGGTTCTAATAGGCACTAACCTTACTCCTGGTTCCCCAGAAAAAGAAGCATCTGGACGCCTGGAGGTTGCCTGATTAACAGGATTTTCACCTGGATTTCTTTGTACTGAGGCAGGTTGTGTATCATTGCGTTCTTCTTGATTGGTGGTATTGGATGATGTTGATGAGGTACCTAATAATAGAAATGATGCTACATGTAAGTTAAAAACATAATGCAAAGCAACAGAACGTAGTAAACTAAAAAATATATATATATATACTGTACCTCGTCGTATCTGTATATCTATACGCCTAGGGAAAAAGCTTGAACCAAGTCCACTACCTAAACTTGAGCTAGACTGTGCAGCTCCAACAGGAACAGCGCCAAAGCTTGTTCCAGGTTGAAAAGGAAGGGGCTGGAACCATGCAAGTCAATAAGCAAAAGCAGTACAGTTGTCATGACAAGAACGATAGATAGAAAGACAAAAGTACCTGAACCATGATATGGTTAGGACCATTTGGGGATATAAAGACTGCAGGCCCTCCATTAACTACAGCTTCAGACTGCAGACAAAGTTAATTAGTACTTAGAACCACAAACCTAACAATTGACTAACAAGATACCAACGGTGGGAAACCATGCCTACCGATGTTTGACCCAAACGCAGTGTCATGGTTGTGCGACCAAGCTCGAGTAAAAATGCACCAAGGTTATAAAACAAAACTCCAGTCCTCAAAGCCCTAGACTGAATGCTTGACCGCAACAATGGATCAGTTACATCCGCTTGATTCTCCATCTGCCTTGATATTTGCTGTGGAAGTATATAATGAACATGGCAATTTTATCTTTAGCAGAATAAAGAAAATAGTTATATAACACCACATGCCTATTTGTTAACAGTGCAGGAAGAAAGTCATCGCAAACATAGAAGAAAAATCTAATAGGATGTTTTAAAACTCACAAGTAGGCATTCGCCTGCTTGTTCAACAATCATTCGTCTGGTAGAAAGCAGAACCTCTGCCAACAATGTCGGAGATGAAAACCCTTCTAGAACTGAACCCGAACGTGAAGAAACAGGTCTAGTTTCTATATTCCTTTGAGCCTCGTCTGCTTGGGCAATATTCCCCCCTTCTCTCACTGCAAGTAAAATGTGTCATTCTCAAAGAACAATTATGCAGCAGAAGCCAGTGAAGGATAACTATTAGATTCAACATGGCATGCTTACCAATTGCATCAAATTCATTGCTTATGTGACTTAAATATTGGGACAAAGTTGTTAAAGAATCAGGAATGACCTACAAAGTCATATTTAAGAAATAAATTGTTTGATATCTTGTCAACGAGAGAGGAAAATACTCAAAATGTCAAATATAAAAGAATATGTACACCTGAAAGAAATTAAATAAATATTTAGCACATACAGGAGGCTGCAAAGACCCTAGAGATACTGTAGCTGGAGCTCCAAAGGCATTACGTGATCTATCAGACAAAACCCGAAAACCCGATTGTTCGGGTTGAGGATGAGATGAATCAAATATCCCACTAGAGCCTGAAATTCTCCCAGAGCCTTGGGAATCATGCTCCTTCATTCAATCCAATATGTCCAGTTGTCAAGGAAAGTGTTTCAGATGAATATTCACATAAAAAGACAAGCAAATACCATTTTTTATTGGTCACACGTCATAAGTTCATTATACCACTCCAATACCCAATGGAAAGAGAATTAATATACGGAAAGTTGAATTTACCCTGACGTCAATCCCTTCACCATTCGCAAAATTTTGAAGTCCAATGGATCCTAGAACTGCAGAAACGATCTGCACAGGAATGAGATCAAAATTAAATTTTCAACCAAAAGAGAAAACCCTAAATGTGTCCCCTATTGTTCAAATTTTAATTATACCCTATTGATTTCAGGTGGAACTCCGTCTCCCTGAAAAGGCACATTGAAAGTCTCAATAAAAACACCAGGGGCTACTTGACTACTGTGACTGAGGCCTGTCAGGCTTGAGCTTGAATTCGGTTCAGTCACTACAAAATGGAGGTAAGTATGGAAGTCAGTATACCTTATCTCCTTTTATTAAAGGTGAGAATGAAGGTAACCCAGAAGACAAGATCAACTAGAAAACTCCTCACCCAGTTCCCCACCCCTTTAAGAAACAACCTTTCAAGAAAAAAAAATAATAGTGACAATTTGCCAGTGCCCAAATGGAAAATTATCAAACAAGATGACCACTTCTTGAATTTCTTCTTACACAAATGAGGCATGCTCTTGGAAAATATTTTCCAACGCAATTAGGTAAAAATTTTGTAAAACTAAACTAATTACCTAGTTTAATTCTTGCAGGTGCACCAGATAAATGGCACTATTATGGTGTGTTTTGATCATCTTACCTGATTCTCCGGGCAAAAAGAAATTAAAAAGTCGAAAACCTACTTTGTCTACTGGTTGAATTAATTACAATTCATGTTTCTCCCAGACAAGCTTTTAATTAGGTGTAAAATGGAAACAAACAAACAAGTTTCAAGCTATAACAATATCTTCTTTGCAAGAAAGACCGAGTATATTTTATTTCACCAATTTTCTACTTAAAGAGAAGATTTGCTACAACAAGAAATACGAAACCTTCACTATAAATCCTACTAAACTAGAGCACATAACTTTCACATCAATTACAACAGCAAATGATAATACTGTACATAATCACGTCAAACCTGAATGATTGGGCAGACTTCCTGGTGGTGGTAGGTCAGGTTGCCTCGCAACCAGATGCAAGGTGTGACCATCTTCAACATCTACTTGTGTTAAGGAGGAAACCCATTTTGAATGAAAAAATAGTGATGCAGTTACAGCACCAAAACTTCTTTGACACGACAGCATGGCTTTTGTGTCTAAAAAAATCATCCACAAGAGTGCTTCTTTGTTTTTGTTCATAACATTAATTACTGAGATAATATTAATATATTTGGACAACAAACAAATTATAACATGGGTGGATGGGCCTATATTTCAACTTCAGACTTTTCTGTAAAGGTTCGAGTAATTTGGCACAAAAGCCAAAAGTCACCACTCAATGGAAAATTTTATTGTGATGGCAGTGTCTCCTCTTAGCAATCTGACTTTTATGTGCTGCAGCCTTTTTGCCTCAAAATCTAAACTCTTGACGAAATTATTGATCACAATACTGACTACTACACTTAAACAGTACGGATCATATGTTTTACAAACACACAAAAAATTTTATCACTGAGGATTAAAAAATTACTACAGAAGCTAAGGACACAGCCCCTTTTCTGGACAAGTAAAAGGAACACAAGCTTAACACAAAAATAAAGGAAACACCATATTATATTATATCATTTTGTATTTCTGAAATCCAAGTCTTCTCTCCATAACTAACAACTACTTAAGGGCAAGATAGCATCTCTTTAAATGCTACATTGGCTTCCTTTGTGAGTCTTTCAACACAGTGGAAAGACAAAGAAACAGGATACGATACGCAGACAGGAGCTGATCATCCTTCAGAACTTTTCCTTGGCAAATTAGGCGTTGCCTTTCAGATAATACTCCAGTTACAGAAGCAATCTGTTCTTTCAGGGCAGGGACTGGCATCTGCAGGACAGGGAATATTGTTGTAGGAAAAGGACAATTAGAAACAGATCTTCAAGCAAGTTGTCAGGTAATTCAAAGAGGCAGCCTTATGATTATATATCTTAAACAGTGTTGCGTTAAAAACCAAACATATTAGAAAAAAAGTGGTTTTATTGACAATTCATTCAGGAACTTTTTCAGAAGCTACTCCTTCCGCTTTGGAGAATATTTATAGTTTTTTTTTCCTGTTTTGAAAAGCCTATTAAACTATTATAATTTATTAAATTTTTTCATAAAAGATTTTTTTCTTGTAATAAAACAAACAGCCTTGATTCTTTTTATCAATTATCATGTTTCTACAGCAAGGCAGTGCACAAAGCAAGATTTACAAACAGAAACAGAATGTCTTCACAAGAAATTCAAAAAACAAGTCAAGAAAGATTATACAGTCAAAGAAACACCTGTTTATCCACTCTGAGGGTGTACGTTTGAGAATCCAATGTTTTAATCTTTATTTCGATAGTGGTTTCTGAACTTTCAGTACTGGTATTGATTGGAATCTTTTCAGTGCTATTACTTCCCATTCTCTGCGTACCACGTAATACTCTATAAAATGAAAATATAATAAAAGCCATAAAAAGGTCTGCCAATATTTCTTTCTTCGTCCAAGATATATGATTATCGAGAAAATCATGTGAAACCTATAAAACAATACAAAATAGAAAGAAATGTACACTGTCATAGTGGGAAAAACAAAAACACATTCAATACTCCAGCTGGCTCCCACAACTATAAATGGGAGTTGTGTTGTAACCCAGAAAAAATGGGACTACATCAACCCCACTAGGTTGGAAAGAGAAGACCACCCAGAGGAAAGAATAGACAAACCAGACTATGATACATTGACGCATAAGAAAAATTAGACAAACCAATAAAAAATACAAAGTGGAAAGATGTGTACACTGCCGTATTTGGAAAAGAAAAAACACCATTAACACTAAAGCTGGCTTGCTAACTGCCTGGGTAAAAATCTTATCACAAGACACCAATGATATGGAGAACCAGTCCAAAAGGTAATCAGATAAGAGGGGGAAGACTATTTATAAATAAATGCGAGTTGTATTGCAACCCAGTAAATGCGGAGCTGAGACTACTCCATCAACCCCATTAGGTTGGGAAGAGAAGACCATCCAGAAGAAAGGTTAGACAAACCAAGATACGATACATTGACAAATAAGATTGGATTGTGTTTGTTCAATGAGAATTCATAAACATTTTGAAATATATAGAAAGAGAGTCTATATTCATTAAGTAATTTATTAGATAATCGATAACAAAGAATCTTGAGAACTATAAGAAATTCATATCAGAACTACTGGAAAGTGCCCTTAAGGCCCTAACCAATTGAAGCAAACTTATAACAGAAGCACTTTTATAAGTATAACTATTAATCCTGAATAACATGGTATAACAGCTGACCACTACTGACTTTTGTATATCAACATACATATACATTCTCAATAATGATAAAAATTACTCTAAATTCACCACATTCATAATTAACAAAAAATAATTTCAAAGTGTCTTGAACAAAGCATGTATGGTTAATTCATTAATATCTGAGCTCATTAATTTGCCCCCACCTATTTGAATAATCAGTGTCAATTTAAGACGAAGAACTAGTAAGAGACACGAATACAAGTAAATACCAACAAAAGTCATGGATATGAGGGCTATTATTGTTGTTGTCGTATGTACTCATTACTATTATTAGTTTATCAATACTACTATTCAGCTTATCATAATACTTTTATCCTTTAAATAATAAATAAATAAGAGAAGTCAAATGGAACTCATCTAATAACAGCAAACCAAAACCAAAAAATTAAAAAAGAACAATACATGTGGGCCCATTGACCCAATTGCCTTAGCACTAACCCTTCTGTTTACTGTACCAGTGTAACCCGAAGACCCTGGCATGTATGCATCTCCCCCCGTAAAAGATTCAATTGCCTTCTAAGGAGACAGAAGACAAAGATCACAGACAGAGAAGAAGGTGCAAGGGGCTGCAGCCACAAAACAATACTGGTTTCAGGGGCAAAGTTGAGCTTCTACACATCTTCTGTGTAACAATGTTATCAATAACAGAAGGCCAAAATTGAAGTAGATAAACACTCCATTGAAGCCTATGGCCACACAATAGCATGCCTCTCTTCACGAATTGCCTATGGCAGTTCGCAAAAATCTGCCATATCATAGCAGCCGTGTAACAAACATCATTGCAATGTAACACCTGCTCCAACTGTGATTTTGGCTAAGAAACACACTCCCTTGACCAGGAAAAATGTGATGGCCCTTAGAGGAGCGGCAGGGTGCAACACCAGCACAATTCTGCCAACTACTGTGTGTGACTGACTACTATGCCTAAAATCCATGCTGATAGGAGTGAATAAGAGCCAACACTATTCTGCATCTACAACCCAGCCCATATGGTCCAGTCCTTGCATCAACACAACAGCATAGCAGATGAAAGATGGAAAATCCCAGTAAACTGAGCTTAAAGCACAACTTCAAACTCAAGCTGAAGAAGAGTTAAGTAGGAACACTTTATCTTCACTCTAGAGCATGGGCAGTGTAATTCAAAAATACAGATCTAAAAAACAACTCATTCAGAGATGAGCTTTCTTAACTTTGCTAAAGTAAATACATCCAAAGCAAAAACTACATTGTTAGTTAAAACAAAGAAATTTGAATTATTTTCATAAATCATTTCCTCGTTGTTCTCTTGTATCAAACTGACAAATGCCATTGGCATTATGTAACAACGAAAGGTTATCAATTGCAGATGGTGGAATATAGCTGGAGGTCAAAACTTCTAGCATATAAACACGGCATTGCAAGCGGGCCTCCATTGACAAAATAATGATGGCGGAGGGTAAAAATAGCCTCATTATAACGGTTATTTGACAACATTAAAAGATCATTTTATGTAGTTATGATGTATATTAATACACTAAATATGTTTGAACAGCTAGCTTCAAACATGTAAGATTGCATGAAGAAATGGAAGGTATTGACTGCAGTGCAGCAGAGCAATCATAAAAGAAGCCTATTTGTAATAAAGAACAGAATGGTTGTCACAATGATAGAAGAGCTCTTGACCCAGAAGAATGTATAGCCTATTTTCAGAATATATTGATTTCAGAAAATATAGATGACATGGATAAATAAAACCTGTGCAGGAAGCCTATTGTTATACAGAACCAAGCAGCTCAAATTTCACTTTGTATGATTCTGCACTCTCTAAGAGATATGTAATTCTGGCTTAGTTACACCTTTACCATTACCTATATTCACAGGATTAATAAAAACACGGCATGCAACCCATCTAAATGTTTTGAAGCAATAAAAAATAATCGATAAAACAACAAGCAGAACCACAGCAATGAAACCAGCCACAAAAAAGAAATGCAAACCAAAAAAATCCCCTTTACGTAACAATACCTTCCTAGGTCAGACAGTTCAACTCGTTTCTTATCAGCACACATCAGTAAACTTACGAGCCACAATGTCACACACGCCAAACGAAAGACACCAGGCACATTCCCATCTCGCAAATAAAAATGTATATCCAAAAATTGAAAAAGTAAGAAAACACCGATTTCATATCAGGTATTCAGTTTGCAGATTGCCTTAAGATAGGGCAAAACAGGAACTACTTCATAGATATTGATTGGTTCTAGAGTATATCAAAACTTCACACACGACGATATCAAAATAATTAAGCAAACAGAGACACTGTAACAAAACGCGGATCGCCCAAACAATCCTATCACGAACAAAACAAATGCATGAACCTAATTTCACTCTCTTAGACAGATATAACGTTGTGTGAGGAGGCGTTCGGGGTGTAACTGAAAACCTAGTTGCGAATCGCAAATAATTGGACATAAACAGTTACCAAGAATTGGACAAGAAAAAGCTGTAACCCTAGGATGAGATGGTCACTGAGGGAATCGGAAACGGAAGAAACAGAAAACGGTGACTGTCATCGAAACCCGAAATCGGAGAAGAAAAGGAAACGAAAGAGAGAGTTGATGAGCGAAGAAAGGAGAGTGAATAAAGAATGAATCTACCTGAGAGCAGAAGGTTGAGGAGTGAGTGATGGAGTTGGGTAATTAGGGATTGAAGGGAGGGAGTGGGTGTTGCAGCCTTGGCGCTTTCACCGCTCTGTTTCGCACTCCACAAAGGATCTTTCACATGAATCAATGTAGAGTGCATGGAGTTGTATTCTGCAACCCGAAGCACTGGATTGTGACCAACCTTTTGGTATCGACTTGTCCTAAGGTAAATGAGTCGGTCGCCGCCGTTTTATTTTATTTTACTTTTCTTTCTTTTGAAGAAATGATATTATGTTTCAAATTTAGTAGATGTAAATCTGCGTTTCAAGATTATGTTATGTCTTGTCGAGTTTTAGCAGTTACGAAGTTAACGTATAGTTTTTTCATTTAAAGTTTATCATAATTAGTTTGGAAAAAATTAATTGACTATACTGATTATTAATTAACTGAACTAACAAATTTGAATTTTTCACACTGAATTATGTTATTTTATAATTTAATTTTGAAAAGCTGAATATCAAAAAGAGTTTATTATTCATTAATTTAAAACTAATTCATTTGAAATTTTTTACTTGTTTGAAAGTTTTTAAAATTACAGTTTAGTTTTAATATATAAATTAGACTAATTAATTAGTACCAATTCATTTTTTTTTCATTTTTTTTTAAGTTGAGTTGTCAAATTTAATTGAGTTTCGATTATACTGTATTAGTTCAATTTTGAACAATTTGATTTGAATTATTTTAACATTTAGTCGACTTGGATTTCACTAACCTTCTATAAAACTTTTTAAGTTTGTTATCGATGGATAACAAGATCATAATGAAGGGGTCAAACTAATTTTGTATAAATTACTAATTCAAAAAAGTATTGACCATCAATTCAAAATTAGTGTAGATTTGGTTCGTCATTTTGTTAGTTCAATACAATTATGTAGTTATTAAAAATTAACACACTTTAGAAACAAGTTAGATACATATCAATTCAATTCAAATTGCATTTGATAAAACAAAAGTAGTTCAATCATAAATTAATTTTCAACTCAGTTCAGTACAAACTAGTTTTGGTTTGAACTCATTTTATAATTCAGTTTAATTTAGACAAATTATTTTGGTTTAGTGCAATTTTTGAGTGATGACTAACCAAAAATAAATTGGCCTAATTGAACTGATTGAAATTAGTTTCCGATAAACTGAAGTGAGAACTCATGGAATTATAATGAAACCAAAAAAACTAATGTTGTTATGTTGTATACTGCAAGTGAATGTTTAAAAATAACTTGAATGTGTCCTCTTGTTTTCAACTTACGAATAATGAACATCTAAATGAACAATAAAGAATTTGGTCAAAATCTTCAATATGTACAGATTATGACTTATGTCGACTAGGTAGTAGAATCGGTGTCAAACACACATAGACGGTAAGAAAACCCTTATGAAGAAACACCTTAATGCACCTACCTTTGAAAAAATAGGCATGCAACCTTTTACCCGTTCAAGCCCATTGCACAACTTAAAGTCCTTTACATTTTGAAAGCACAAAATGAGAACCACTCTTTATAGTTATAAATTACAAACCTCACTTCTCATTTTAAAAATGTGAGTTTATACTGAAATATGTGTATAGAGTATGAATAATA